CAGTCATTCAAACCACAAAGCGGAGAATGTATCAATCTTTTTTTTATGGTGTGCCCAGAGCTTTTATAATCCATGTTAAGAACTGTGGGCGATAAAGGTATAATTCTGATAGACAGGCTTCCCTACCATGCTGTGCCATTCTCAGCAGAATTCCCCAGGAAGCATTTATGGCTGCTGTGCAGCCTTTAGTGCTGCACACAGGGAGGTGAAAAAATACAAGAACAGAACGGGCGGCTGAATCTGAGTCCAGTCCCCAAAATGCGTTGGCTGGGGAGGCCACAAAAAATGTTGCTATTTTTTCAGTTTAATTCTGGAGGGACTTTCTTTCATATCAAGCACTTCAGCTGCATCTCTTTTTCATGCTTGCTTGCTTTCCCCTTCTTTTCTAGCTCTTTCTCCTCCTTCCTCTGTATTTGGCCCATTAACTACTCTTCATCTCTCCAAATAATCCTCTGCTTAACTCCATGTTCTCCATGGGACTCAGCTGAAGTCAAAGGAAAGATTGTTTTCAGTGGCATGAAGGTCAGATCCCCAGATACCTGTCTGATTCTTCTGTCCCCTTCTTTCTCCTTTCTGCTTTGTTTCTTTTCCCCTTTTTGCTTTTTCTATCTCGGGAATAATTAAATGGCAGGCTTAGTGTTTCTGGTTCCTTTATGCTTTTCATAGCTGAAAATGGATTGGCACCATTTTCTTATCCAGTAGACAGACTTTCTGACACTGTGCTTTAATTCCTAATCCCTCCGACTCCTAATCCTGGACACCAAGCATTATATTACAAAGACATATGATAGAAATCTGTCGAATAGCCCCATTATAGTATAGATTATATTAAGGCTACTGCAGGTTTTGATGTTGTTATGTACACTAGTGCACAATATGGAGAATAGTGATATGGGATTTGAAAGCATAATCCTTTGGCCCATCAGTGGCCACTACTCACTAGACCACTACCATTACCAATAGCTCCACCTTAAGCAAGGCTATGTAGTGGGTTCAGGGTGCAACATTGAAAGGATTGGTAGTTCATGACCTGTATTTTAGGCTTCCTCCTATGGAAGCAAAATGGTATTGATATGGTCTTTGGGTTTATAACAGGTGGGAGGAGCTGTAGACAGAGAGCATGTGTGTGTCTCCCCATCTACATGTATGTAGAAGTATAGAGGTATAATATAGAAAGGAGGGACCTTCATCCATCATCTGCTTGCTATCTCAACAAAGCGTGATGAGAAACTGTAGCAATCAGCTTTTCTGCTGCTTTCAAACCTGGAGGCAACCGATTCAAACAGCATCTGGCTATCCGCAACTTGTGCAAGTCAGTGCTGTTCCCAAATTAATAATTCAGTCATTCCATCTATTTATCACCCTTGAACTCTGTACTTTATTTATTGCCTTGTTTTCATATTAGACCTATGTGGACTTTAGCAGGAGTTGTCTGAGATTTTTCTGGACTGATGCCTTCCAACTGAGTCTGCACGTGATTGATTTCTGGTTCTCTTTGTCTAACAGAAGTTGGAGTTGTTTGATGGACCCTAAGAAAACACTCAGGAAGTTGGGAAGAGGCAATTGAAGTGGGGGAATTAAGAGTTCCCTTGAAACGAGCTAGCATTTGCACCTCAAAAGTGCAGTTTTCCATTCCCAGCGCAGTGCAGGAATATCAGCAAAATAAGGTTGTCACTTGTGATTGTGTCTTTATGGATTTTCAGCTCCTATTTAGCAGGTCAAAGAAATGTTTGTGAATATCTGTTACAAGGACATGTCTAATAGGAGTCTGACAGCTTGTGGCCTTATTTCTGTTCTGATTTCTATCATCAGCACTCTTTTCTTCCCTGTCAGTGTAACAAATTCCTGGGCTTTTAAAGCCCAGTCATAATAACAAGCAAGACAAGGTGCTCTTTGGGATCCGGCACATTGGCATTAGTACATTAGACATAGCCATTAGCCAGGGGTAGCACTGCACCCCTGATGGAAGCATTATTCCTCAGAGACATCCCTTCTGAATCGTAATGTCCTCCCTGCTTCTGTCTTGTTCCAGGATGTTATAACTTGCTGCTGGTCTGTGTCATCAGTGAAGTATGAAGCCCCTCTTCCATCTCAGCTGTACTAGTTGATGTGCTTGGGAAGTAGAACCAATGCTTCACGCTTCCAGTCCACTGCAGCTAGTTAGTCCTGGAGTGGGGAGTTAGTGAACGTGCTGTGCCTACTTGTATACCAGGAGTCAGGATCTTGTTAGCCCTTTGGAGAGCTTAAGGAGTCTTGTACCTCCCCTGCCCGTACATGGAGTCTGCATCAGAATGTAGGTGTGGAGCATGGAGAACTTGCTAATTTTTCTGTTTTAGAGTGTGTTCAGTGGAAAAGGAATATTAGTGAATCAGAAACAGGCACCCACTTACTGTAGCAGTAATTAATTTACCCAAGGTTTTATAGGAAAGGTGGGTTTTTGCCACCAAGATATATAGGCACTACATAGCTCTGGAAAGCTGAGGGAACAGCATAGTAAACCACACACTGCCAAAAGCTAACCAATGATAACAGTAGAGTACTTGGCATGCTGGATTTGCTTGGGAGGAAGGATTTTGGGTAGGGTTTCTTTTTTTCCCAGCATGTGTTTCAAAACAGGACATGGATGGGCAACCCATCCCACTTCAGAGTTTCTGTTTTTTAAATAATCACAGGTCTGGGCTTTCACTTAATTTCTTTGTTTCTCCCTGCAAACTCAACTGGGAACACTGAGCTAAAAGATAATCCAAGTTTGGCAGGCTGCTTGCCTCCGGATGACCTTGATGTATTAAAATGTCCCAGTGGTGGGATGTAGTTTCTTTTCTGTATCACTTTTCTGTCCCCAGTTCCTGGCAGATGTCAGGAGTCTGGTGTTTTTCACTGTGGCTCAGAGGACTTATTTCCTCTGTTCTCTGAGACCATGCAGATTCAGAAACCAGCTCTACAACAAAATCACTCCTCCAACTAAATGGAGTTGCTCCTGACTTACACAGGTGGAGAAACAAGCCTCTACTTTTACGTGCAAATGAGAATTACTGAACCCTTTGACCACAGAAGCAAAGAAGGATCCCCAAGATGCAATTCTGTAGCCTACCAGCTTACAGGAAAACTCCTACTCTTCCTCAGCAAAGGACACCAACCTCAACTCACCCTCACTCGTCTGCCTTGGCTCCCTGCCGGAAACTGTCTTACCTCATTCCAGTTTCAGATGCTCCTCTTTGCTCCCTACTGCTTCTCTGTAGGAGGGAGGTGTTGGAACACAGTAGCTGGGGCAGTCAGAACACTTGGGTACACTTAAGGATACAGGCTTTGTACAGTGTGCTTTCTATATGTAATTCTGACCTCATTTGGTCTCCCAGGGTTACTGAACCTTCCCTTCCTTCCTCACTTTTTCCCAGCTTCTTCCTGAGTTTTCTGTATTTTAACAAAAGCATGCAGAAAGAATTTCAGAGGAAGAATGTTTCAGTTGAAGAGATTTATGTATGGGGAGAGCTGCATCAATAGCCCAAGAGAAGGATATACTTGTGAGTACAAGCTGTTTCTGCTGACCTCCAAGAAAGAGGGAGGATGGTCTCTTGGTTAAGATGTGGATCAAGCAGTCAGTTAGTGGGCTTATTTCCAAGCTATGCTAGACTCCTTGTATGAACCTTGGTCAGTCATTTCATCTCCCTGTGTACTGTTTTCCCCATCTGTAAAAAGGAGAACTTCAAAAGATTTCCTTGCCTCCCATGGATAGTACCAGGAAATTTGTTAAATACTAGAGAGGTTTTAGACTGATGGAGCCCATATAAATAGATAGGAAATCAATGTTGGGTATTTTTCACTGTGGCTTAGTAGTGAATCTCATTCGTTATGCTGAGCTATAGTTGTACACAGAGAGTATGGGCATCTGAACCAGTTACCCAAGCTAATCTAGGGTAGGAGTTTACAGTGCACCAGCTACTCCAACCACAATTGCAGGTGTGCCAGCTGTTACCTCACCAAAAATGAAAGAGAACCTTCATTGAGGGCTAAGCTATCAGGGATCGGCTTTCCCTTACCATAGCGTAAGAACATATATATGGGCAGTTATCATAGAACAGCTAACACACTGCAGATTTCACTCCCTTCCCTTATCACAAGGCAACTTGTTCATGTATTCATGTCCTGAGTTTTCCATTAGCTGAGCAATGCCAAAGAAGCACCAGTCTCTTCCCAGAGAGCTCACAGTTGGCTATGATGCACTGCTGTGCAAATGCAGTTGTTTCCATAAGTGGAGGGAGGGGACTCTGCCTTGTAGCTTTATGAACACACAGAGAGTGAAAAAGATACTTTTCCTCTGATGACATATGTCCTAACCATAACATTTTTCAGCTGTATGATAGCATTCGTCTGAGGGCCTCAGACCTTTAGAGAGGTATGTTTAATAGGTGGTCTTTACCTCGATTTTGCAGATGGAGAAACTAAGGTATAGAGAAGCCAAGCAACATACTATGGCCACACAGCCTGTCACTGTAAGAGGTGGAATTAGCACCTAATTCTCTTGACTTCCAATCTCAGGCTTTGTCCTCAAAACCTCCATGTCTGTTGTCACTAACAATGCCATCAGTCAACACAAAAATCCTTCATCTCTGTCTTGTTCCAGCACAGTCATATTTGGGGATTAGCTGAAGCTGTCCTCAAACTATGTGCTAACGTTGTGATAATGATAGTGCTATTATCCCAGTCTGACTACCAGAGCTGGACTTGTAGTTTCAATTTGCTAAGGCCATAAGAGTTGCTTCTGGGGTGGATTGCTCACTGATGTTATCAAGCATTATAAACTATCTTAGTTGTTAAAGATCTGTGTTAATCAGTAACTTGTCTCTGAAAAACGTCATTACTGTCACAGAGTACAATATGCTTAAGCCAACTGTCACCAAGCAATCACATCTGTAACAGGAATAAAGCACCGTATAAAAGGAGCCGGAGAATCAGCAAACTCTTTAACTGAGCAAAGCAAAATCGCATCAAGATCTCTCTCCATGGAGGGACCAACTGACAAGCTACACTTTGAAACTGAATCAAACTCTCTTGGACCCACGCTTGCAGAAGTGGGCAGACTGGCGCCCACTGAAGAACATGCTGCTGAAATGGAAGGACTAAGGTCCTTTTCACCATCAGACACAAAACTAGACAGTCCACATGCCACTGAATCACCAGAAGCAGAAATGGACTGTCCATCCTCTGTTAAACCTCCAGCCACAGCAATGGATACTTTGGACACCTCTGAACTCTTAGTGTCAAATGCAGACTATCGTCGTTCATCCAAAGCATCGATTGCAGACATGGACTGTCTAATCTGCTGCAATAGGTACAATATTTACCGGGTACCCAAGCTCCTGGCTTGCCAGCATGCCTTCTGTGCCGTATGCCTCAAGCTCATTGTTAGAAGCGAGGACAGCACCTGGATAATTACTTGCCCTCTGTGCCGAAAAGTCACTGTGGTATTTGGAGGGCTTATCTGCACCCTGCATGATAAAGAAGACATTCTAAGTCATTTGGAGAGCCCTGATACGAACACTGAGATGCAGCTCTCTCCCAAAGAGTTGGACAACACCAGTGGGACCCAGTCTAGCCATGCCACTCTCCATACTGATGACCATATTGCTAGTAGCAACAGACTGGCTATCCAGAGACTTGTGCTGCTTTTGCTGCTTGTGGTGATCCTTATTATAATCGTTCTTCCCTTTATGTATGCTGGACTGGTGAAATGGGTCCTCTGCTTTGCACTTACTTTTGGGCTGATCATGTGTTTGATACTTTGCTGTAACCCTAGCTTCAGCTGCAGCTGCAACGGAGATTCACTCTCTTTGTGCCACAAGAAAGAGAGCCACATCATTTCTATTGCCTGAAAGGACTGGCATATGCAGTGGACTGGTATTAGCTGCAGATGTCCAAATGGAAAATGTTGGGCAGTCATAAGCATATAGAAACTTTGGGAACCATTGCTCCTGTAGTAAATTTCAAACCCCTGGCTAAAGTTTTGTACTTCAGGCAGGGGTAACAAATAACAACAATACAGTATTGCTAAATGTTCTTATCTGTATATTTGTATTTAATATTTTTATATGTGAGGGGAAAAAAAGGAGTAAAGCTTTTCCTTAAGACTTATACCCAAGTGCTGGTTTTGTTGTATTGCTCTGTGTTTGTTCAAGTTCACATTGCTTTTTGACCAGTAATTCAGAATGTTTATTACCTGCAGTATTAGCCAGCTGGCATCCTGGGCAAACATAACCAACGTCTGCCCCTGTGTTTGATGAGCCTCTCCTTAGCCTTGTGCGTATTTGTTTGCCTTAGTACAAACCCCAAACCAGCCAGAAATGCAATGCTTTTGATGCACAGACTGAGCCTGGTTTTTAACTAAACACATCTGTTAGGTACAATTTGTGCCTCTGGGGTAGAGAAGGTGATTTCATCTGCCTGCCCTTTTACTCTTTGGTCATCTTCTGAGAGAGGTTCCAAACAGTGGTTTTTGTGAGCTGGATGGCTAACCAGATTGAAATCAACATTTTTTCATATAACGCACCAAAAAGCAATCAACCACAAAGGAATTGGGCTGAATTGGAACTGTTGTTTTCAAACTGAAAGGATCTGCTGCTTGTTAAAAAGTTGAAACCCCTCAATGTGCGATCTTCTCAAAAGACTTGGTTACAACATAAGAAGCTCCTTCTAGTTCATGAACACTCCTGTGTTCTTTAACAACTGATTCATTCACTTGAACAATAACCACAATATGAAATTCTCTCTCTGGTTATTCTCATGCATTGCCTCTTTCCCTTTTCTGTGTTCTTGCCCTCTTCACAGGAAGCCTAGAATATGACACTTCTCCCTGAGCTATCCACAGTTAGTTACACAGGGATAAAAGAGAAGGGACTTGTTAATCACTAAAAAATACCACACGGTATTTCTTTGTGCAATATGCCCATTAAAGTTTAATAACATTAATTGCTCTTTGACTTTTTTGTCTCATTGAGTTTTACACTGACATTAGCTGTCAAAACATGTCAGAGCTCCCCTACTGGCAGGAACTGTACCTGATAAAGCACTTGAAGGAAACAGTGAACTAGAATCAGTAATTAAAGCTGAGAGGACTTGCTTGGTCTGGAGTTAATGATAATTGTTCTGATAAGAAAATACAGCCCAGCTAAAACTATTGATCAGTATGAAACTGAGGAAACTAAATATTTCACTAACCAGTTATATTTTCTTTTGAACAACTGCTAATGATTTCAGCAGGCTTTCCATCAGACCCATGGTTAAATATTTGTATTTGTTCAAGTCAAAATACTGATAAGAACTGAAACTTAAGTTGATGAACGTAGACGGTCTTGCTCTCTTGAGTAGATGTTGACCTTGTAAAGGCTGCATTCTTGCAAGGACTGTTCTTAGGGTTAAGAAACTAATCATTTTTTTTACTCAGAATATAAAGTCTTTACAAAATACAAGCTCCCAGTATCGTATATAGCAGGGCAATCTGCCTGTTCTCACAAAAGGTAGCCATAGAATTTTTCATACCTATGAATTTGGTGGTCATGAACAGCAATATCCTAGTTAAAATCTTGGAAGGGTGAGCAGATCCCACTAAGACAAATGTCTGCCTCATCTAATGGGAAGGATCACAGAGCCAGGAGTCACCTAAACATGGGGAACAAGAAATGAGAAAACAAGAATGGGAGTATGAGGTTTCAAATGAAGTTTGGGACACTGAAAAGAAAACTCTAGGCAGCACCTACTCTCTGCAAAGGAGTACGTAGACTAATGAGACACCACTCAGAGGAACTATGTATGGGATCATGAGCGGGCCTTATAGTCACATGGATCTTCATGTAGAGCTTCCTCTTCCTCGACAAGTGCATGGCCATGTTGGCTGGTGCCAGAAAGAGGGACTACCACCTGGAGAACTAGAGGTGGACAAGTGTCAGGGCCTCCCTCTCACCACAGAAAGGACAGGTGTGGGCACCCGGGGATCATGCCAGACATGTACCATCAGGTAATATCTCCCAGGGAAATAAAGTCTGGCTTACCAGACTTCCCTTGCCTTCATAAGGGTGATAGAGTATCCAGCAATGTGGTGTTGAGATGGCATGTAATAAAGGTGAGGAAATGTACTGTATGTGCTACAAGCATACAGAGATGGTCTCCATGCACAGTTTGGAGATGGACTGGATGCTTGGATAGATAGATATATTTTAGCCTACTTGGAGGAGTGCACTGAGAGTGTTGGGAGACTGAATGGTATCTAGCTCGTAGGCATAAAGAATGATATTCTGGATCAATCCATAGAACATGTTCATAGGCAATGACAATGCAATCTTTCCTACCGCTGGCCTGTCAATCCACTTCAAGTCTGACTGTGGAGTAAGGAAGTAGTTCGGTTACAATGTCTCTCCAGTCCTTGAAAAGACTGCCAAATAAGCCTGTTGAAAGCCCACTGAAATCAATAGGAGTCTTTCCACTAATTTCAGTGAGAGTTGTAGTGGGTCCTAGAAATTAGACTCATTTTATAACAGCTGATGATTTCCATTTAACAGAGAGATAAGCCCCAATATGAACCTTTGCAACAGTGAATAAGTTTTTAGGGAACATATAGAATCATTTAATCTCTTCACACTATGTATGATAAAGGGATTCTCCTGCATATGTTTTATCAATTCTTCTCCTAGGAAAAGTTCAGCTCTTCCTAATTAGAATGCCTATGAACTCCTTGTTTGTCCCATCTATATGGCTTCTGAATTAGCATAGTCATTAGGCAACAGACTTTAGCCTGATAGACAGAGAGGTTATTAATGAGAGAAGTGTTGAGGTGGTAATAATAAGGTATAAATTACATACAGAATAAATATCTTCTAACTGATTTATGAAGCTAGAAACCCATCAAAAAGGGTCTAAGAATATGGTAAGACTTGACAGTGATGTATAAGTAATTTGTGTAAGCCACAGAATTGTGATCCTATGAATTCAAATTCCTCCTACTCCTATCCCCACCATCAGTTCTCTACCTCCATCCTTTGATCTCTTCACTTTCACTCATCTCTCTTCTTTTCCTCCTTCTCTCCTCTTTCTTATGTCCTCTCCCTCCTACCCCTCTTTCCATTCCTTTCTACAGCCACTACCTTACTTCTTTCTCCACTCTTCATTCCTTCCCCTTCTGCTCTATTCTTAACTACTTCTGGAGGCTGGAGTATCCTCAGTCACTGCAGCATCTGTTCTTCGAATCTCACCAGATGAAATCAAACACACTGCAGACACCTTTGGGCTAGATCTTTGAATGGTAAATCCACAAAATGCCATTTATTTCAGTTAAAGATTTGGCAGTTTGTTCTAATGAATTGATTAAGACAACTGGTTTCATTCCTGGAAATGATCAATGAGTTTCCACTCTGGATTTGGATATTTCACAGTGCAGTCCTTTTTCTGTTGTAATAAATCATGCTGTTGCTTTCATGTTCAGTCTCAGTAACTATCCATTTCACACCCACTAACTTTCATCAACAACAATTGGATCTGGGATCTCTATTCCTAAAGCTAATAATCGCACACAAATATTTCCCTCTCTAGACTGCAGTGGTCTGGTTCATATGAACAGTGATTGCTGGCTTTCACAGACTGCATGTGTACCTGACCAAAGCCATCGGCGCAGGACTTACTGTAGGATAAGACAACATGGCATCTTCTGTAACCATCTAAAACCAGACCTCTCAAGCACAGCTGAATATAACTTTTCTTTATAGAACTTCACGCACACCATAACTATGTGGATTTTCTTTTATTACAATACAGCCACATTTTAACATTTCTATTGTTATAACATTCCTATATATAACATCAGATAAAACTCAGTCACAACAATCCTTCCAGCCGACCGAGAGAGCTCTTGCTTGCTCATACCATAGCTTTAGCATCACGCACAACTATAAATCAAGTGGAACAAATAAGTTGCAGAAAGTAATGTGTTTTCCCCCCTGCTGTCAAATTTTCTACAAACAGATCTTTAAGTTCTAAAATGTATTTACTGACTTCTTCAAGGAATATTTCTTGAGCTACAGATGATACCCAGTTTATTGTGCTCATCTGCAACTTGCAATTTGTGTTATATTGGGTAATTACGTAAACCAGAGTCACTCACATGCTTTCTGTTAGTTGACTGGATGAGTTGGATAACTACCCAACATGGCACAAACTGTGAATTTTAAAATCTAACATAAATATCACTTTTAAGGAATATCTGTCCATTCAGGCTTAAAATCTGTTTGTTCCCTATAGCTGTACAAGTAAAGCTCAAGTGCTGTGATGTTAGCAAGAAGGATTCATGGTAAGATCATTTATCTGACTGATCAAAATTGCCTTTTGAAATTACCACGTTTGAAGCATGAAGACACTTACACAATCTGGACTGCTTGGTAGGGTGGGTCCATTTAGGCAACACGAGTTTTAGCAAAGCCAAATATAAAGTCACAAATCTAGAAACAAGGACAACAGTTCCCATATAAGATAAGGAAGTCTGTACTGGAGTGCGCTATAAGGGACTTGCAGGTGTGGTAAACAGAGAGGTGGGGTAGAACATATTCCAAAACGGAAAATTTTCCAGTGCTTTATTTTTCCATGGCAAATTGTCCATTTCTAAATATCCATTGTTTAATAAAATTCATTAGTAACAATAAATGGATGCCCATACAATATTAGGCAAGCTTGGCAGTTTTGAAGTTGCAATTAATGCTTTTCAGGTGATTTTCCCTAGGAAGTATGTGAGAGTACATGTATGTTTGATTGATTTGTAAACAGGAGGATAAATACACTCCAAACCAAAAATCAAGTTAGGAATTCACCTAATTGGCTTGCAGGTCAAATCAAA